ACCGGTGCTTAACTATCTACTTGGCTAACAGCTACCAGTATCATCTGTCGTTGAAGCTGAGGAGGAGGAAGTTATCGACGCAGCTGGAGATCCTATTAAACTTCCCGTTGACATCACACAACCTAACCCCAATGGCGAGGAATTCGACAACTTATACCTGGATATGAACGGTATCGTGAGTGATAGTAGTAAATACATTTTTCGTGCTGACCATCCGTACGCACAAAGGTTCATCCTTGTACTCATCCCGAGGGCAAAGTACGCATACTTCGTTCTATAAATTTGCTTTACTCCCTGACTCGTCTTCCGCAGCCGGCTCCCGAAACGGAGGAGGAAATGATGCTTGAAATCTTCAAATACACTAACAGAGTGGTTAACATGGTGCGACCGCGCAAACTTCTTTTTATGGCTATTGGTGCGCTTTACATTTATTTTGTCTCATACCACGAACTTACTGCAGAGTGCAATTAGACGGCGTTGCTCCTCGTGCCAAGATGAATGAACAGCGAGGTAGGCGGTTCAGGACTGCTCAAGCAGCAAAAGACAAGGCGGAAGCTCATAAACTTGCTGTCGCTGAGTGGGAAGGTACGTCGTTCTCAGAGCCAATCTATGCTGTATTTCTGACCGATTTCATCATTGCAGCTATGGGTAAAATTATTACTGATGACGAGAAAAACAAGGAATCTTGGGACTCTAACGCTATCACACCCGGTACGCCGTTTATGAACCTTTTAACAGCGTCGTTGCGGTACTGGGTTGTGAAGAAGATGAATACTGATCCAGGGTGGAAAGATGTACGTAGTGAACGTTTCCTAGGGATCCTTCTGATTCATTTCTGGTATAGCTACAAGTTATTATCTCGGATGCAAGTGTGCCTGGAGAAGGAGAGCATAAGATCATGGACTTCATACGCAGACAACGCACAAATCCCGGTCATGAGCCTAATACTCGACACGTAATTTACGGTTTGGTGGGTTGATTTCCCGCTATCGTGCTCTGTGTTATTGACCGCATGTTCAGGATGCTGACTTCATCATGCTCGCCCTCGCGACGCATGAACCATATTTCCGAGTACTTCGGGAAGATGTGTTTGCGCAGAACAAAGGTTCTGGGTGCCGAATGTGTGGACAAGAAGGTCACTATGCCGCTCAATGTAAAGCACTGAAATCAGAAATTAAAAAGCCTCCTCCACCGGGAAAAAAACCGTTCATTTTCCTCGATATCGCCATTCTGCGCGAATATCTGGAATCCGAGTTGAATGTGAACAATACGCCTTTCCCTTTCGATTTGGAACAGGCTATTGATGACTGGGTGTTACTCATATTCTTTGTCGGCAACGATTTCTTACCGCATTTGCCGTCACTTGAGATTCGCGAAGGAGCGATTGATACTCTCTTGAGGATCTGGAAGATGGAGTTGCCCAGAATGGGTGGATATCTGACGAACCATGGTCAACTAGTGCTTAGTCGTGCGCAGATCATATTAGAGGGACTGGCACGACGAGAAGATGAGATCTTCCGTAAGCGACAAGAGAGTGAGTATCTATGATGTGATCCGTCAACGCCTTGGAGACTTACCATATCTCAGCTGAGCAACGCCAAGACCAGGAGGCGAAACGTCATAAGATTGAAAAGTCTGAGCCTGGAGAGAACGCCACAGGCGATATTCAGTTCGCCGTTCCGTCTGTGAAACTTGGTCTGACTGCATCCACTACATCATTATCATCTCTTCCTCAACGTGCAGATAATGCTTTTGCTGCCAAGGCCGACTCTATTGGTCTCGGAGCGCCGCGTGATGCTCAGTCTCTTGAAGTCGTTCCAGTTGCAGCGCAAGCACTGGCTGGTTCGAATCGCGATGTAGTTGCCAATCGAGCTGCTATACGGATGGCGAACATGAGTGCTGCAGAGATGCTCAAGGCTGAGCTATCTGGACTCATTCCTGTGAAACAAAGTGCTTCTGCTCCTAAACCTGAGCCGGTTGTTCCTACTCCTCCACCCAAAACAGACGTTGAGCTTATGGATGACGGAGATATTCCGGGTTTTGGGAATGCTTCATCAGTACTTGAATTTGTTGATGATGGGGCTGGTGACATGGATGTCGAGCCCAATGATCCTGTACTAAATATTCCAGCTGATGAGCCTGTAACACCTGTCGCTGGTGTCAAGCGGAAGCTTGAAGATATCGAGGGAGAGGATACCGATGAAGTGGCTGGCATTGATGAGGAGTCGTCTGAAGATAACGAAGATGCGTCTTACGCCCTGGTAGTCAGGGCCGATGGCTCAGTTGAGCAGGCCGATAACGTGAGGTATGAAAAAGCTATGAAATCATTCAATGCTGTGAATAACATTTCCTCAGATTGTATGAACCCGGGTATAAGAAGCGATACTATCAGCAAAAGTTTGGCATATCAGAAAATGATAGTGATTTTCGTAGAAAGTGGGCACTTTTGTTATCGATTTCTGCACAAACCTGGCTGACTCTGCTGTGCAAAGGCTAACAAAACACTATGTAGAAGGTATTGCGTGGGTTCTGCATTACTACTATCAAGGGGTGAGCTCCGTCCACCGATTTGCCTTTATTTGCTGACTCGGTAGTAGAACCCCTCATGGCAATGGTATTATCCATATCATTTTGCACCTTTCGCGTCGGACTTCGAAGGTTTGGAAAACATGCAACTCGACTTTACTCTCGGACAGCCATTCAAACCGTACGAGCAACTCATGGGTGTTTTCCCCCCTGCTAGGTACGTCCACATTATGTAATAATTTTGATACGTAGCTCACCAGTATCGTCAGTCGCAAGCACATACCTGAAGTCTTCCACGACCTCATGACAAACGAAGAATCTCCGATTCATGATTTCTACCCATCGACTTTCCAGATCGATATGAATGGGAAGAAAATGTCGTGGCAAGGTGTTGCTCTCTTACCTTTCATAGACGAGAAAAGGTTATTAGATGCCATGGCCGAGCACTACCCTAAGCTCACTGAGGATGAAGCCCGAAGAAATAGCTGGGGTCAAACTGTCATATTTGTCGCTGATGAACATTCACTATATCCATTCTTCGAGGGATTGTATGGTAAGCGCAAGGAGAAAGAGGTATGCCATCAATTCGACCAGAACCGGTTTTGTTACTGACTACAATTACCCAGCCCCAACCCATGCCTACTAACCTGTCCAAGGGCATTAGCGGCAGTGTTCTACCAAACCCCGATTGTTTACCTGGCTCGACGTATTGTGCCCCCTTGAGTTCCATGAATCTGCAAGATATTAAAAATGATCGTTGTCTCTCCGCGTTATACTTCTTCCCAAAGCAACTCTCTCCCCATCGATCGATGTTTCTTCCAGGGGTTATAAAACCTGCGAGACAGCTTACTGGTGAGGATCTAGCTCGGAGGGGCCGAGGACATGGCCGAGGGGGCGGTATGGATCGCGGCGGTCGCGGACGAGGTGGCTATCAGAACGGCTCTTACAACAACGGACATGGGTATGGCAGCACCCATGGCCAATCACAAACTCCGACGTCATATGTCTCCTCGTACACCACCACTCAGTCTCGAACACCGTACGCTCAAGGGCCCCAGCAAGGATTCGGAGGCTATGGCTCCAATGGACAGCCACTAATTCAAAACTATGGTGATAATTATTCTGGTCAGTCGCGTGGTGGTCCACCCTCTCGAGGAGGTGCCCCTCCCTCGCGTGGAATGTTATCAAACCGCGGTGGTCCTCCCCGTGACGGCCCTCCTCGTGACGGCCCTCCTCGTGACGGTAGTTCCGGGTATGGAGGTTCTACGTCCTATGATTAAACCGCTCATCAACCGTATGGCCGTGGAGGCTACTCTGGTGGGTATGGTGGCAGCAGTGGAGGGTATGGTGGACGGGCGAACAGTGGTTACGAGGGCTACGGTGACCAGACAAGCTGAGATGGCTATGGTGGTTCAGGAGGACAAGACAACAGTGGCAGTCACATGGGTTATGGAAACCAGAATGGCGGACAGGCCGTGGTGGCTATGGAGGTGGCTACAATGGAGGAGGTTACCAGAACCCTTCGAGGGGCCGAGACCGAGGATTCTAGAGTAAATTATTTGGATACTACCTCGTTATTATTTTCCTTGGCAGGATATGTTGTATTTTAGACCATGGATGTAGATATTTCTCTGCTTTCTTTCTTGTTGATGTTCCGTTTACCTTCGGGGGCGGGGCGTATTGTCTCGTGAATTACAATAAGTACACTATGTTCGCGGTCGTTTTTTCCTCATCATCTATTGCAAACCGTGAATGCTCGAATGGCTCGCCAACATCGCACTCTCGATGGTGCCGTTTAAAGCTGACCATGTGCGAGCTCAGACCCGCAAGAGATTGTCGCACGCACACTTGTATGGATGAAGAGCAAGTTAGAGTGATACAGTGTTGCACAATTTAGAGATACATTGCGCTTGTTCCACAGAGGTTCGCAAGCATGCATGAAGTAGGTCTTCGAGGCTAGGGCTAGCGTTGAAAGGACAGGTTAAGAGAAAAATGAGCGATCACAAGTGGAACTTATCGTCGAGCGCACAGCGCTTGGCCGATTGGGAGTCCAGGTTTGGTCCAGGTGGAGCGCAAACAGGAGTGTCACGCGAATTGCTTCCGCGAGATCAAACGTTCCATCCTCGCTACATCGATATGAAAATGGCTGTACCGCCCTCAGGCTGTGATATCAATTTTTTGGATGTCACGGGGAACACTGGAATGACTCCCTGATACTTAGTGAATGAAGATTTATCATCCACAGTCCTTGAACGATGTCTGTCCCATCAGTGATTGAAATGCATTCTGGGTTCTGCCGCGGCGGCCATGTAGTGAGAAAGGATGTCGTCTTACGCACTAGACGAATGTTCGAGTTGTATTTTGGGCTGAGTAATAAAAACAGGCGTGACTCAATTGAGTCTTGGCAGCGGCGTGCGCCACAAAATTTGCAATTCAAGGGCTCAGGGCGCTTTAGGTGCACAGCCTTAGTCAAACGAAACTTAGTTCCAGTCCATACATAGACTGCGAAGCGAACACGCCGTACCCTGCGCAAGGGGGGACCGATGGCCTGGTGTATGAAAATGCTTTCGTACTGCAAGTCACCAGTATGTACAATATCTTCAACATGTTTGTCAGCTCACGCAGGACTATACTCGGGCTAAAAGCGATAAGTGATTGACCACCCTTGCCCAGCTACAAATATTGAGTTCGGAGACTTCAATCTTGAATTTCGTCGGAGGCTGACTTGGTCTGAAACGGATCCATGTTCTGTATTTAATTCTCAATGGTGAGTAGTCTACCTCCTTTCACCATCCCCCAGTCGATCATCTAGTGTCATGTCTATAACGGACGTTGCCCACCGTCTTATCCTCACAGTGATCAGTCTTATTGTGTTTATGACATCCAAAATCCTCAGTCACGCCGTCGAGCGCCAGTGGAGGCGGGACGTCAGCCCTGGGAACGCTATCGGGGTCAAGTCCTTGACGATTTGTAAAGAAACACAGTACAAGGCCAGTGATATTTATGAACTACTACACTTGTATTAAACTTTGACCATTCCTCGAACAGTTCGGCAATCTCATCAGCCAAGGGGAATTTTACGAGAGGATCGTATTTTACCACTCATCGAAATGGCATGTGTACCAAAAAGGGCGATATACAGGGTTTCTGACAGTCTTCCCGGTATGTCGCTGAACCTTTTGTCTTTCGCTGCACGTTTCTGAGATCTACTTTTAGGCAAGTGAATCTCATTGCGTTGATCTATACTGTGTCGAAGAGCCTGAGATTCTTTGGGAAAATTATTGGTGTTCTCGGCTTGGTATGCTCACGTCATTATGTTCCTTGGCGCACTATCACGATCTATGAGCAGCCGCGTTATCCACCAAGAGTGCCCGGAATGAGGCTAATCAAATATGCACCTTTGTTTCCACGCTTGGCTTCCCAGCTGCCCTGGAGCTCTTGCCATCTTGAGAATATTTCGAGCGCATGCAAAGACACCATAAGGAGAAGAGAGTATGTCGAGGTCCTTGCAAAAAGTATCATCAGGCGCAAAGTGAAAGACTCGCAAGTACGCCACGGTAGCATCAGTCCGCCATATCATCCGGTCCCAAGTTTGAATAGCCAGAAAGCACACGACCTCCGCAAAGCTCTTGTGAAGACACTAGGAGCTAGCGCGTTGAAGAGGGAGTCACTCGTGATCAAGGTCAAAGAAGCACCCCACACTCCGAAGGAAATCCGTTTGGAGCGTCGCATGCGTTTGGCCCTTGGAGAGAATCTATCGATCAAGAACCTTGCTTCCGCTGCTATTGCGAGAAAGGCGCCTGCATCTCCTCTGCCCGACCGTTCGCCATCCCGGACCCGTTCTCTACAGCCGAAGACACGTTATCGAAACCAGAAGTCGAGTCGTCACAGTCTTCATGAGGCAGCACCCACCTCGTTCACACTGTTCGTGAACCTCGGCCCGGACTCGGAAGATGCTGTTCCAGGTTCCTGTCACGCCGTAGTCTCTGTGTAAATATTATATGCCATGCATGTGAGCTTATCTGCGAATGAACCTGCAAGTTGAATGAATGAATGAATTTTTATTTGACCGTCTACGTGTAGTAAGTAGTCGAGACTGTCGTCCCTCGACCGTTACTAGGCCAAAAGGCAGTGATGTGCTTTAATTATCGCGGACAGTATTGTTTATGCTGATTATGGGAGCGAGCTTACACTACGTTCACATAAGCTCAGTAAGCCAGCACTGAATTGAATTGAATTTTATATTTGGCCATCTATGCTCACATCAGCCAAATCACGAGGACGACCAGTTCGTACCGCATCAGCCGATTTCCCAGTCCGCTACAAACCCCTAATCTCCGGCTTCAAAGCTTCAAACTTTGTGGTGTGAGCATGCGAAGCTTTTGTCGCGGCCTTGAAACTATCTCATTGATTTCTTGTCAGTCGGCATTCATCCAAGCTGGTAGGGCATTCCAGACAAAGTACTTGTGGTTTTTGACTCGGAGGAATGTACAAAATCATAGTATACGTACGTTTTATGTAAATTTGTAATCGGACAGCGATCGTGTCAACAATTTTGATGTGACTTACCTCCGGGTCCGTATATAGCCCATTATTTATACCAGTCAGCTCCGCCATCGATAGTCCTTGTCGCACCTTATGGCGTCTTGTCGGGACGTTGAAGGATGGTGCATCGTATCAAACCTTCGTGAACTCGATTTCACTCTTTGCTTTGAGGAAGGCGTCATTTTAACATCTCTTTTGGCTTTACTGCTACTGTCGGCAACATGCAGAATTTGGGCCTTGAGATATCTTCCGTCTCGTGATATCTCGCGGAAGAGTCGATGGATATTATGGGCGAAACTGGTGCGTTCCAATAGCTTTACATATGTGTCTACCTCGAACCAACTTGGTGGGCAGATTTTGTTGGGACTGGCCATTGTTGCATCCTGCTTCAACCTCTTCATCGTCTTGTCATTCAAGAGAACAGTATCGGTCGTGTGGCCTTACATCCTCGAACCACTCGCGCTGCTTGCGTCTTGGGTACTCACCCGACTGAACCATCGCCGGACACGGTCATCATCAACCATCCTCCTACTATTTTGGCCTTGTTACACCGTCAGCCTCGCAATATGGACTAGATCTTTCGTGCAGGGCGAAGTTTCCAAGGGACTTTTCGTGGTTCTTTCAAAATGGGCTGTCGAACTTTTCTCTCTCCCGGCATACGTGCTGGAGTGCGTCTCCCCTGATGATTCGGTCCAGGATAATACAGAGAGCCCAATAGTCACGGCAAATGTATATAGCATCTGGTCATTTGCGTGGTTGACGCCATTGATGCAGAGAGGTTCGAAAGAGTTCATCACGGAAAATGACTTGCCTGCTTTGCTTCCCCGTGACGAGTCAGAGAATCTCGGAAATGATCTAGAGAGTGCTCTGGAAAAACAGTGAGTACAATTTTGATAAAAGAAGATTTTCTTTGTCCGACCAAGTTGTAGCTCGTCCGTATGGCTCGCATTGTTCCTATCTTATGGTGGCCCGTATGCGGGTGCTGCAGCCTTGAAAATCTTGCAGGATATTCTTGCATTCCTGCAACCTCAACTTCTCCGATGGCTCCTGGCATACATCTCGAACTATCAGAGCACCAAAGGCGCGTCTAACCTCCTTGTTGGTCCGAGCCCATTCGAGGGATATGTCGTTGCTATCATCATGTTTGTGGCATCTATGGCGCAGAGCGTTGTTCTCCACCAGGTAACCCGGCCAATGTGATCGTGTTCACGACACTGACCACAATACAAACAGTACTTCCAAATCTGTTTCGAGACAGGTATGCGTGTCCGCGCTGGCTTGGTGACTGCCATCTACAAAAAGTCTCTCGTGCTTTCTAGCGATGAGCGAGGGAGTCGGGCATCTGGAGATATTGTCAACTTGATGTCCGTCGATGCGAGTAGACTGCAGGACCTATGCACCTATGGTCTGATTGCGATCTCTGGACCATTCCAGGTAAGGCAGGATTACTCTCTATAATAATCAGGCTCACACTATCGTCAGATTACACTGGCTTTCGTATCATTGTACAACCTTCTCGGATGGTCGGCTTTTGTCGGAGTTGCGATCATGATCATCTCTATTCCGCTCAATACGGCAATTGCACGGATGCTAAAGAAGATGCAGGAGCAACAAATGAAGAACCGTGATCGCCGGACGAGGCTAATGAGTGAGCTTCTGGCCAATATTAAAAGGTACGTCAGCCTCGTGTACGCAGAGAATTTCATTAACGATCGTTATTCGTGCAGCATCAAGCTTTATGCATGGGAATATGCATTCATCCGCCGCGTTCTGCATGTGCGCAATGATTTGGAACTGAAGATGTTGAAGAAAATTGGTATCGTAACGGTACGCATTGATTTCAAGACAGAGTAGCCCGTATTCATCCTTGCGCAACTATCAGGCTCTCAATGCGACGCTTTGGGGAGGCATTCCTTGTGTGTCCCCTGCCTTTGACTCGTTGCTCACAACTAACAAACAAATCTCTCAGTAATCGTGGCGTTTAGTTCTTTTGCCACCGCATCTGTGTTCTCGTCGCGACCACTCACGGCCGACGTCATCTTCCCTGCGATCTCACTGTTTATGCTTCTCCAGTTCCCACTTGCTATGGTGAGTGATAGTTGCATTGCAACTTCAACAATCGTTCGACTGTGTCGCAGTTTAGTCAAGTCACGTCGAACATCATCGAGGCACTAGTTTCCGTCAAACGTCTGTCAGGTTTCCTGCACGCTGAGGAGTTGCAACAAAATGCCCTCGTGAAGGTGCAGAAAAGCAGTCTGAGCCTTGGTGACGAGGTCGGCAACTCTCTAACTGCTTATGATCGTTTTCACATTTGTAACAGGTGCTTTCAATCAAAGGTGGCGAGTTCCAGTGGAACAAACAAGATATTTCAGCTGCTCTGGAAGATATAAACTTGACGGTACATAAGGGGGAACTAGTGGGTGTACTTGGTCGTGTGGGCAGCGGGAAGAGTAGCTTGTTGTCAGCGATTATCGGGGACATGCGAAAGACAGAGGGTGATGTGGCTTTGTTCGGCAATGTAGCTTATGCCGCTCAGAATCCTTGGTGCGTCGCATATGCGGCATTTTCTAGCATGTTCACTCACAAGCGAATAGGATTCTTTCTGCGTCGGTTAGAGATAACATCCTTTTTTCACACGAGTACGATGAGGTGTTCTATAACCTTGTTATTGAAGGTATGTACATGACTAATTGTATGAGATTGGACTGACCTTTATCTACAGCTTGTGCTTTGAAGACCGACTTAGAGCTTCTCCCACAGGGTGATCTGACGGAGGTTGGCGAAAAGGGTATGTTTCTGACCATCTCTTTGGCGAGCCAATCAATGTTCATGGGGTCCGTTCTATAGGCATTACTGTAAGTACTTCGGGATAGTAACATATCAGCCAAAGGCAAATGATCTCTCAGCTCAGTGGTGGCCAACGTGCTCGTGTCGCGCTTGCTCGTGCGATCTATGCTCGTGCAGATCTGTAAGTATCTTCTGTTCACACATAGTATGGTGCTAACGCATGCGTCCTCCAGGGTTCTCCTTGATGATGTTTTAGCTGCCGTCGATTCCCATGTTGCCCGACATGTCTTTGGTGAATAAGAGCATTCGGTCTCAGACTGACTTCCTTCTAATGATATTATGTAACAGATCATGTTATCGGTCCTCAAGGCTTACTCGCAACCAAAGCGCGCGTTCTTGTCACTAACAGCATCTCGTACCTCAAGTATTTCGATCAACTTGTTTACCTGCGCCGCGGTATTATCTTGGACAGTGGCTCGTACGATGAGTTGATGTCGAATCCGGATAGTGAAGTGCGCAAGCTTGTGTGAGTGTATTTTGATTCATGATGTTCGATGCAATCTAATTGAGTTATGACAGTCACGGTCATGCTACGAGCGGTTCCAACTCTGGAACGACCACACCTGGACGGTCCAGCGGCATGTCCACTCCCACTACAAGCGAGGGGGACATGCAAGCCACCCTTGTTGGAGAACTTGAATCTGTATCAGAGAAGGTATCGCGTAGAGAAAGTTTCACAAAAGCTGTCCTCGCTATGCCGCCCAAGCTGCGCGACGCGTCTTCCGATGGCATCACGAAAGAGCACAGTGAGCAGGGCCGCGTCAAGATGGAAGTGTACTCGCAGTACCTCCAAGCAGCGTCGAAAAAAGGGTTCCTGATCTTTGTACTCGCTACGGTTCTGCAGCAGATGGTATCTGTCATGTCAACCGTAATGCTCAGGCTTTGGGGCGAGCATAACCGCGAGATGGGTGCCAACGCGGGATTGACCGACAAGTATTTCCTGGGATATGGTCTGTCCAATTTGATGGCCATTTGCTTAGGCGCATGTGCTGCGCTTCTGATTTGGGTTTTCTGCTCGCTTCGGAGCTCAAAGCACCTTCATGATTCGGTTAGTGCTGCGTTCCAAGTATGGATGAAATTTTTCATCTATTTTTCAGATGCTGCATTCGGTCATGCGTGCGCCCCTCAGCTTTTTTGAGACAACGCCAACGGGACGGTGCGTCAGATCAGTAAACTGTGGAATGATTTCTGAGTTCGAACAATTCTTGTTGCAGTATCTTGAACTTGTTTTCTCGTGATACATATGTTGTCGATCAAATACTGGCGCGAGTGATCCAAAATCTGATACGCACAAGCGCGGTTTGCGCTTCTATTTTATTGGTCATCGGGTTCAGCTTCCCGCCCTTCTTGATCGCCGTCGTTCCTCTGGCATGGTTCTACTACAAGATCACCGTGTATGAATGGCTTTGTTCTTCTTCCAGAATCATCCTGATATTATCAATAGGTACTATCTCGCGACGTCACGGGAACTCAAGCGTCTGGATGCGGTGTCCCGCTCACCCATCTTTGCGTGGTTCTCGGAATCCCTGGCTGGAATTTCGACTATCCGGGCGTACGAACAACAAGCCGTTTTCATTGCGAACAATGCTCGTCGTATTGATCGCAACCAGTTGTGCTACCTTCCTAGTA